GCCTTATATGGTGTTTTTGGGGTGGTAATTATGTTAATCTCCTCTCGCGTGCACGAGCAGCTGGATACAAACAGGTGTAATTTCAGCTCATTACGCACTTTTCCTGAAGATAGAAGTGTTTGTTGAATCTGACGTGACATGTTCGTACGAACCCTTTGTACGAACAAAAGTAAGAGAAATTTAGGATAAAAATACGAACATGTTCTTGCATGAGGCCCATTGTCTCACTTCCAAGTATTTGCTGCTSTGTCATTCCTGATGGGCTTACAGATGGAGGTCCTGGGAGAGAAGCTCCTGAACGAGCTGCCAGAAGAAGCTCTCGTCATCTCCTGTCGTTTTTCTGTCCCTAACTGGCCCCAGAAAGCCTCCGTCGGCTCAGGACTTGACCAGACGTTTGCCTACGACATCAGCAGTGTGCGCTCACATCTGAGAATGGTATCAAAATAAGTTAAAATAATGTTTTCACGACTGTTCTTCTTATCTGCATTAAAGCCTCACTGCACTGTTTTTATTTTTTATTTTTTATTGTCCTGGATATGATCATTTAAAATTACAGCAATCCTGCTGAAAGATTTCTTTGAAAATTGAAAGACTAAGAGGACATTTTGAGTGTTTATTTAGTCTTCGTTCTCAAATAGCAGCCTGAGCCTGTCATACTGCTGATGTTTTTTTTTCTGTAAATGCATCAACCATTATCTACTGTAAGGCTTGATGATGTGTATAAAAGAATTATCTGCATGATCTGGCCATTCAAGGTTACACAACACAACTAGCCTGAGAAACCTGCACTTTAATCTAAAGTGTGATTATTTATGTAATATGCTCACTGCTACTAAAATGTAAGACATTTAACACATTTTGTTGTAAAGGTAAAATGTTTTTCACTGAAAAAAGGTAGTTTTCCAATGAGAATTGTCTGTGTTTATTTTTTTAATATTTAGATGCCCAGATATTTCATTGGAAAGTACTCTGCATCTGATTTTATATTCTTATTTTAAGATGATTCCATCAAAACATCTTTTAAATGAGATTTATTTAATAAGAGTATTTGTGTTTGGTCTTATTTATATTTTTACAGGCATTTCAGCACCAGGAACAATTTTCTGTGCTAAAATAAGCAAAGCTTTCCCTTGAACAAAAAAAACACCATCTGAAAGGATGAACACATTTTCTACTCCAGCACTAATTATGCAATCTGACATGAACAAATTGCTCATGTTGTTTCAGATGATAATTTTTCAACTGATGCCAGGATTACATAACATGGTGATCACAGAGAGAATATTTTATTTATTCTGCAGAGAAAACTACTGGGTTGGAGCAGCAATTGAAACAAATAACAAAACCTGCTAAATGAAAGAAAGTAGTTATGTTACATAAATCTTCACTTTTGCAGGGAAAATACAAAGAGTTACATCTTACATAAGACTTTGTGGGCTTTGTCAGTAGGGTTTCTATCCTTGAACAAAAAAAAAAAGAATTTAAGAAATGAGTATTTGCACAATATATCAATTTTGGACAGTTAAATGACGTTTTTAAAAGTGGATTTTAAATCATTAGGCAAAAATATTTTATTCTATTCTGTCATAGTTCTATTATATCACTGAGATAATTGTAAACAATCTGAAGAATACAATGTGAAAAGTCATCATAGATCAAATCGTGCCTCCTTTTCACAGTATCCCTGCAAATAGTTTGGAAATTAACCTGACTAAAATAACATTTTTTTTTAATTCTGAGCTGTGAATGACAGAATGCTCGTTGTCCTTGATGAAAACATGACTTATAAGAAAAGTTTCACAAAAACTGCATGTCAAAGTGGTGCTTTAAAAACTTATTTTTTTTTAATGGGGTGGCCACTAAAACTCCTGGGATTGCACTAAAACAGAGTCCTAAATGAATGTCTGGAGATTTATATTGTTGTCATATAGAGGTTATTTGAAAAATACAAGTATCATAGGCGGTGAACACATTTTCTACTCCAGCACTAATTATGCAATCTGACATGAACAAATTGTCTATGGTAATCTAAAAATATACAATAAGTAACTACTTGGGACTCAAGAAGATAAAATTGTTTGGTCAACGGGGTGGGGGCACCAATGTTTTAGGAGGTGGCTCAGTTGGTAGAGCTGATGCCTCTCAGCAAGAAGGTCACCGGTTCAAATCCCGGTCCGGGGACCTTTCTGGGTAGAGTTTGCATGTTCTCTCCGTGCATGCGTGGGTTCTCTCCGGGTACTCCGGCTTCCTCCCGCAGACCAAAAACATGACTGTTAGGTTAATTGATAACTCTAAATTGTCCCTAGGTGTGAGCGAGAGAGTGAATGGTTGTTTGTCTCGTTTGTCTATGTGTGTCTCTGTGATGGACTTGCGACCTGTCCAGGGTGTACCCTGCCCCTTGCACTGTGACTGCTGGATATGGGCACCAGTGACCCACGCAACCCTGAAAAGGAAGAAGCGTGTACAGAAAATGGATGGATGGATGGATGGATGGATGGAAGTATCATAGGGAATCACCTTCTATGTCTACTATTTTTTATTAATTTATTTTTTATTTCAGTTGATAATTATGAAGATAATAATCCTAAATGTCTATGGTAATCTAAAAATATACAATAAGTAACTACTTGGGACTCAAGAAGATAAAATTGTTTGGTCAACGGGGTGGGGGCACCAATGTTTTGGGAGTGGCCGTGGCCCCCTGTGACACCACCTTAGCGGCACTCCTGCAAAACACCAGTAATTTTTGCATGTGGCCCTCTTGCAACTGAAACTAACTAAGTCTGCTAAACAAAAAAACATGCATAGATCCACCCCAGCTGTAAATAGAAATGTGAAATTCATGGCCTGTAACCTGAACTGATCAGTGCCAGAAATGTCCACCTGAGGGCGCTAGAGGTGTAAACTGGCTTTAGTGCAAAAGGTGCAGATTACAGATTTTTTTCCTCTTAATTGTAACCAAAACAATTAAACAAATACAACAAACATTTGAAATGTCGCTTTCACTAAAAAAAGAGTTAAAACTTTTCGGGTTTGTAATTAGAATAAAAATATTAGAGAAAACAATTCTGTGTGAAAATCAACATGAACAGGAGTAAAAACGTTCAGCTTTAATGTCTGTGTCGTCAGCAGTCTATGAACCCACGAGCTGATCGATAACTGGCACAGCTCGCTTCACAGAGTGACGTCAGAGAGAGGGCGGCAGGCGGGCGGAGCGCAGAGGGGTTCGGCGGTATAAAGGCGCGCGGAGCCGCGCTCCGGTTTTCATTCTGAGCGCGGGACTAGAASCAGCCCCGTCCTGATGGAAGTACACAAAACCAGCGTCCTCCAGCAGTCCAACAACAGCYGCATGTGTGAGGCCACGCAGAGGTCCTGCGAGCCCCGCAGGAAGAAAGCGGACGACCGCAGTGCGCCTTCGGAGATGGCGCGGATAATCACCGACCCGGTCACCGGCAAGTGCTACTGCCGCGGGAAAGTTTTGGGAAAGGTTAGCGCCGACCCATTATTTCACATTTTCCCTTCCATTTTCTCCTTGGATTTACCTCCCAACCTGAAGTCTAACCGTGTCATGTGCTATTCACCCTCTCAGGGAGGCTTTGCCAAATGCTACGAGATGACGGACCTGTCCACCGGCAAAGTTTACGCCGCTAAGATCATCCCTCACGCGCGCGTCTCCAAACCTCATCAAAGGGAGAAGGTAAGCGCGTGCGAGTTTCACTGCGAAATGAGTTGCGTTGTATTTTAAAATCACATTTGTGACTGTGCTGAATGAAGTCTCATTTTATTTGTTTGATCAGATTGACAGAGAGATTGAGCTGCACAAAGCCCTGCACCACAGACACATTGTGCATTTTTATCACCACTTTGAAGACAAGGAGAACATCTACATCCTGCTGGAACACTGTAGTAGAAAAGTGAGTGCTTCTCATCACATCTTGTTTTCAGATTTAGATAAAAACCATGCACTGTGCAGTCAACCTGCAAGTTTGAGTTGTTCTGTTGGAATTTATTGCATCTAAAATATATATWTTTTTTATTTCTTGTGATATTTTTTGCAGTCTTTAGCTCACATCTTAAAGGCTCGCAAAGTTCTCACAGAACCAGAGGTGCGTTATTACCTAAGACAGATTGTCTCTGGACTAAAGTACCTGCATGAACAGGAAATCCTTCACAGAGATCTTAAACTAGGTAAGGGATCTTTACTCTGCAGCTGTGGCTACAACTGTAGTTTGCCATCATCAGTGTGTGAATGTGTGTGTGCATGGGTGAATGTCTGTAGTGTAAAGCACTTTGAGTGTCCTGGATGGATAGAAAGGCACTTTATAAGTACAGTCCATTTACCATTTACTCAGCTGTGCAGAACTTTCTGCATCGTTTCGCAGATGCGCGTGCATCGACGATTTTTGATTGTGTGTCGCTTCCTCTGTGTTCCTCAGCCTTTGATCTCAAGCTGACTATCAAGTTCTCATCCTCTCCCTTTTCACCTCCCCCCACAAGGTAACTTTTTTGTGAGCGAGGCGATGGAGCTGAAGGTCGGGGACTTCGGTCTGGCCGCCAAGCTGGAGCCGGCGGGGAACAGGAGGAAGACGATATGCGGGACTCCCAACTACCTGTCCCCCGAGGTGCTCAACAAGCAGGGTCACGGCTGCGAGTCAGACGTCTGGGCTCTGGGCTGTGTCATGTGAGTAGGCCAATGGCGAACATCAAAAACAGAAGCAAAATTGCTGGTGTTAATTTAACACCCACAGTGTTAATTTAACACCCACAGTATTAATTTTAACACCCACAGTGTTAATTTAACACCCACAGTGTTAATTTAACACCAACAGTGTTAATTTAACACCAACAAAGTGTCTATATGTGTCCACACTCGCTGGTGTTAAAATAACATTTGTGAAAGTACTGTATTTTAACACTCTTTTTTTTTTGTTAATTTAACACCAACCAGTGTTTAATATTCAACAACTCTTGGTGTCACATTAACATAAAAATAGTGTTAGTGTTAGCGTTAAAAGTAACACCAGTCAGTGTTAAATATTCAACAATACTGGGTGTCATATTAACATTTCAAC